AGCATCGTAGTACAGTTCTGAAATGGATATAGATACCTGAGATTATAAGTCTCAACACGAATTTGGTCTCTTTCAGTATGAAAAATCCTTTGCCTTTGTTCATCTGCTCCTCCATGTATTACAGCAAGTTGGATAAGAATATGGACGACAGGATCGAACAAATGGAGAGAAGTCATCTTAATGATCTTTGTAGTATGAACATGTATTATCTTATGAGCATTTGATTACTGACATTGATGTCTATTGACGTACATACATAAATAATCTATATTATAAGCTGGAAATGTTTGTCTGCAACGGAAGTGAAAGTAATTTTCTGTGACGGAAGTAAAAACGGAGAAAGTGTCACTTCCCTACCCAACAGGCATTTCTAGCTAATTATATAGTGAAAAATGATTTGCTGGAATTATGAACAATCCGACTTAATTTTCACGAAAATTAAATAAGCTCTCGCCCGGGCTTATACGCTAGTTATGTATATTAATAAATTATACTGCTATCTCGATAAATATTTATATCAATGTTACCCGTAAATATATAAACTCCGCATAGGTTTTTCATTACCTATCACAATCTGGTTTATTTATATTGGTATACAGATATCTATAACAATCGTTCTTTATAGAAAGCATTACAAGGGCCTCAATAACCAGTACTTTTTTTAAAAACTAACGCTATTATTGTAGATCAATGTGATAGATTTAATTCCAACAAATTTATCGGTGGATTGCGCGTTATTAAATTTCTGGACGTGGTTGTGTATGTACTATAACAAATTTAATACAGTTATGAGACAATAATTGCTCCGCGGATGAAGATAACAAGGATAATACTTGATTCATTTATTACTATTTAAATTTACTTTCCTTTTTCCCTCAATCAACGCACAATAAAACCATTTGGTCTGAGGAACTTGGCTAAGGTTTATACAACGTATCAAGTGTCCCCATAAAGAAAGTGTCAAGTTTCCCCTTATTTTTTCAACCATTTACAAATTAATTTTGGATATGTAAAAAATAAGCAAAATTGGCAAATTTTATAAGCTTTCTAAAACTGAAAGCAGAATTTGATTATCTCTGTTCGTTAAAAAATGACAGCATAAAATTTGGAGGAAGTGGAAAAATTATTTTGCCACTCGTGCGAAAAAGTGATTTTTTCGGATCGGAAAAAAACTCGTGACCACTTCATTCTTCGATGGATGCCCCGGACAAAATTAGTCATACATTCGACATATCTAAGGATCGTGAAAATGCAAAATGTAAAATTTTTCCTTGTCTACCTGTCCGCCAGGAGACCAATATACTCACGCGAAACGTGAAAAAAAATTTTTGATGCAACCCCAACATACCCGTGAGGGTTGCACTCAGACAACTAAAAATTTCAAAAATCTATCTTCGCAAGATCAAAGCCAATAAGATGGGCTTCAAAATCTACAACACTAAAACCGCGCCAAAATACAACGAAGATAGAAAATTAGGGACTAAAACAGTTTGCGGAAAACTTGTTGAGAAAATGTTAAAATCGACTCCCAGAAGTTTCTCGTCGTGGATCATGAAAACTACTGCTCCGTTGACCTCGAAGCGTCAATGGTGTAATGTTCTACTCATGTTGAAGTAAAACTGACGTTCGTTCGAATTATAAATTCAAAGCCAAGCTAAATTTCCAGTCATATACATAAAATGGCTGTGGACGGACGAAAATGAGAGCACCTGCAATACATTCGCTTCAACCATGAATATGAACTTTGCACTTTATTTGAAAGAGTGTATCATCAAGAGATTGACCCCATCTATCAAAAACCAACACGTTTTATTTTGACCTGACATGACTACGTGCCAGAATGCCAAAATAGTGACAGGGTACCATCGAGTCAAAAAAACTGATTTCGTCGAGAAAAAAGACATCGCTCCAAACGTACCTTAATGTCGGTCCATTGAAAGATTTTGGGCACTAATTGCGTAACAATATACTTAGAAAAAAAGCACACCAAGAAATTTCAAAAAACTTCCACGGGCTATGGAGAAAGTCATCATAGAAGTTGATGAAACGAGTGGCAAAGCGCTCATTAGAGGTGCTCGACAAAGTCGGCTCTCCACCGGCATCTAAGATGTATTTTGACCATTGAAAGACAAAAAAACTTCGGTATACTCATCATTAGTATAACACAAAAGTTTCATTAAATTTGATGCAAGCATTCATTTTTACTGGTCGAAAACGTTCTGACACTTTCTTTCTGGGGACACTTAATAGATCGTCGAAAAACAAAAATATTTGCCAAATTATTAGCTGCACGTGCAGCGCGTGGGCCAGATAATTATATACATGTTTACGTACATATAATCGCTTTATAAAATTTGCATTCTAAACAATTTATGCAAAATTGTTGTTGTTCGTTTCATACAAAATACGTAGGTTGACTATGGGGTATTAGGTATTATGGAAACAAATTTGTGTGAAGGTCAATATGTAAGAGCTAGGCATGTTTAAAAAAATAAAATTACACCAAAATAATTTACTTTGAGCTAAACAAAATTTACACATGTTCACGAAAATTTACACTGCATGAAGCAATTCAATGTGGAAGATGTTGAAATTTGAATTTCCTCCTGAATTAGTCTCGGACCAAATATGTATGTATGTAAGTAATAAATATGTTCGTAAGTAACATAAATGTGCAAAAATTAACCTACATGTAAATACGTATACATTTGCACATGTCTACACATCTTTACAATTCTGTAAAATTTCTACCTTTCCAAGGTATGCGTTCCACGGCAGTGTTTAACCAATTCGCCAAACCTGACGAATTTTTCTCCACAGAAGTAACACACGTGTTTCCCTGGACTGTGTCTTCACGTGAAGTGCTAAATAATCTTTCGAATGGCTCTCGTATTCGCACTTATCACAAGAATAAATTAATTTCTTGTTCTCGTATGTCTCGACGCTACGTGACGTGTCATGCAGTGTTTCGTGTCTTGCGGGTTTTTCTCATTTTTTGCACTGCAAACCAAGAAACGCAAGAAATGCAAGGTGCAAGAAATGGAAGAAAGTGCAAGAAACACAGCGCCATCTAGCGACGCGCCTACAGAACTATGGCGGCGGGAAGGAGTTTCTTGCACTTTGCATTTCTTGCGAGTAAAAACAGCTGCAAGAAACCAATTTCTTGCGGTTATTTCGTGCAGGTGGTTACTTGCACCCGAAACACTGGTTTCATGCTGGTCAATATGGAGAATCATTTGTCACAAAATGTGCATGCGTACTCGTTCAGATTTTCATGAATGAAGCGAACGTGCTTCTGTAGGCCGAATCGACTTACGAAAACCTGAGGACAAAGGTGACAGTCGAAAACTTTGCGGGAAGCTTTCTCCAATGCGTTCCCTGTAAGTATTCGTTAAATTATGGCGTAATTTACACACATATAATTTTGATTGTATTTAAAATAGTTGGCCAGACATTGCTTTTGCGTTGTATGTAAAAAATGATAGACTAGAAAACTCGAAACCGTTTTGGATAATTGTGAAATAATGTGAGAGATTGTCAGCAGGGTTTCGTTTTTCCCGTCAAAAACGTCCCGTATTGAAATTTGCATATGTTGTACTCAGATAGTCAAGGAACAGTTTGCAGTACAACGCGTAGTTCTGTGCACCAACATACCCCCACACCCCCCCCCCCCCCCAGATGAATTGTACCATAAAAAATTGTTAACAAACTGGCGAAGTGGCGAATTCAATGCCAGTCACACCCATATTTCCAGTGTATTAAATGACACTAGCATAAAGAGGCAGGGACCGCTGGCTGGAGTTCCACGTCCATTAAAGTGGCGTCTAAGATCAGCCAGGATCGAGGATGAGTTATACTAAATTGCAAATTTCATCAGTAAGGAACATCCGTCACCACAGAAAAGTATTCAAAATGTTGGGGGTGAGTCAGGCAAATAGGCAATAGTTTTTAGGGTCAGTCACTCTGACCTAAATAGACTAACGCGGAGGAGGCTATCCCTCTTACATCAAGAATTTCAACTTATCTTCGCGAAAACTTTATGAAAAATACTTTTCCAGAAATAAATTTTAAACTGAAATTACTCTTGACGAGTCGCCTGACATTATTAGGATAGCTTATTTCGGATTTGAGTACTTGCTACAGAGATTTTCAAGCGGATCGTTCCGGGGCTAAATGGGTTTTGGAAAACTTTTCACGGACGGGTGGAACAAAATCACTCCAAAAAAGTGTCTAACGTGATAATGGTGTGGAAAAAGCGATTGCACCTCGTTAGACAAACTAATAGGCTACACATTGAAGCAATTGACAAAATTTTCCAACGAAAAATAAAGCTTTAATAAAATAAATAAAAGTGAGTTTTGTATCTTGAAAAACCCTCTGTACATTACAAGTTGGTGTTATTTTATGTGCCCCTCTTTTGTTTGTATAAGAGATTCAAATAAAGGTTGACAAAATTTTACAAATTACTGTATTAAGTTCCATATGCTTTACGAATTTTCCCATCACTTTCCCTTGCTTCTTAAACTTACGTACATATTTATCTATTTAACATATGTACTTATACATAGATGCGTATGTACAAAACTTGTATTACAACTTGTAATTTACAAGTTTCCATCTCCTCATTATATAAATACCTCCCACCCCTATCCTATGTTAATGTCCCCAGATGTCCCCAAAACTTCCGCAGTTTGTTATTTAAATTAACATATTTGCAAACAAAAAGACAAAATGCATCATAAACTTGACAAATTTTACACTGTCAAAATTGTCTGCTCTTCATATGCAAATATCTCTCTCTGTCAAATCTTATCATTGGCAGATCTTATTTTTTGTAAATTTCATAAAATCATAAAATTCATCAAAATCATTTCATTTAATTAAATTTGTGATCGATTGAGACTAATTTGTCTTAAAAATCGGAGAGCTGAGCGACCTCCACCGGCAGATTCTCACCTGCCCCGTGCGTATGCGGAAACTTCATCCCTTTCTCTTCCCTTGTTTACGTACAGCACGAGGCAGGCAAGGGTGAAATCGCCAGAGTGTGATTATATTTTAGCTTGAAATTAATTAGAAAAGCCCAATTAATTGATATAATTAATTACAATCGGTTCCACCCACATGGCTGATTGTCTATTGGACTGAAAAAAAGTCGAATCCAGATCCACAGGTGACTTACAAAGGTAGAAATAAGGTGAGTTTAGTTTTCAATTTACAAATATTTAATTACTTATAATTTGTACTTTATTAATTATTAAACACTTTAGACAGCAGCTGGGCGTACAATTAATTATTGGAATTGTTGATTACGATGGAGGCTACTATGGCGACGACAAAAGTGGAGAATATCGATCTTATCGGCGACCTGGACAAATTGAGGATGCGGGCTTTAATGAACCCGTTCGTAAGTAGCTAAATTGCTATATTATTAGTAGTTATATTAATTTACGCATGATTTTATGACAATTTGTTTATAAAAAAGGTGTCAAAATTCGACACAAAATGACGAAACTAATTATTTCCATACAAATTCAAAATTTCAAAATATTGATTTCAGATCCTGGACAAAGTATTCTCCGCTTTAAAGGACACATCTTCTTTAAAAGCGTCCCGCCTCGTGTGCACCACGTGGTCCGACGTCGCGACCGGATATCTCGGAAGGCGCGGATCCCTCCTCTTTTCCTCCAAGCCGACCAAAGAGTTGGCCTCGTTCGACCACCAACTGGCCAAAAACGTCACATTATACATGAAATGCTGCTGCTATGAAGTATGTGCCTGCTCCTCCAACATCCATCTAGCCCTTCCCACCAATTTCGAACCCGTCCTGCCCAAAATCTGTGGGTCTCTCAAAACCATCCAGTTCATCGTCGGCATCGGATTCAAGCCCCGTCTTCACGACATGTGGCTGGACTATCAGTTTCCCAACTTGACTCGGATTTCCATTTTCGCGTCCCAAATCGGGAGCGAAGAAGATGACATCAAACTTGACAAATTCCATCCCCTCCCGAACCTCAAAATCATCTCGTTCAGGATTCTTCCGGGTTATAAGATGTTCTCCAGTACGAAAGCTGGACTTTCCTTGATTTGTCAGAAGCTGCTAAACGCCGCGACAAACTTGGACGAGCTCAGTCTTCAGACCAATTTCTATTTGGATTTGAACAAGTGTCGAAAGTTGAAGAAGTTTGGATTTGAATATCAAGAAAGTCGCGACGTCTTTACGAGGGATGTGGTGCAGTTCGATCACTTCGAGATGGACAGGATGTTGAAGAGTTGTAGAAATTCTTTGGAAAGGCTCAGCCTGAATTATTCTACGAGGAGGTGGCATGCGATCGAGTACATTAAGGTAACTATTAAAATTACTTAATTACTCGTTTAAAAAAATAGGGACAAAAGAATCTGAGAGGTTAAATGGCAGAATTTGTTTAGAAAACGTTAAGTTTAAAAAATTTGAGGACTCTACTTTTTTAAAGAACAATTTCCATTACAATTTTCGTTAAAAAAAGTAGTCCGAAGGTAAAATCTGCGATGTTATATGGCGTTCTGAGTTTAGTTTGTTTAGAAAAAAATAATTTAGAAAAGTTAATGACTTTTGTAAATTATTATCTATTTTTTTAACAAACCAGGTCAATTACGATTTTTTTAGTGTAAATTTAAATTTTCTAATTACAATTTTAATTAATTTATCCATAACCAGCTCAACTTCGACTTCCCGAATCTCACCGAACTCAAAATCGGAGCCTCCGACGTCTTCAAGGTCGACGATTGCCTAAACATAATTGATCTACCTAACTTGACCCATCTCTTCCTGGACACTTCGGATTCGACCGATCTTCCCGACATTGTAGGAACCCTGCATCTGCCCCACGACGGGATTACCTCGCTCCACGTGGTCACCATCCACGATGGGGAAGTTGGGGAAGAAGATGTTGCCAAACTGGGGAAATTGTACCCCTCCGTTACCCAATTCAAATTGGACCTGAGTGTCGAGTTCATCCCCCATTTGGACGAAAACTTTGACTCGTTAAAGAAAATGTTCGAGTCCTTTGGCCAGTGGGGATTGACGAGCGGACAGATCAGCGTGAGACACGCTTTGCCCCCAGTGATTGGAAGATATCGTGAGCGCGAGTTTGATTCCGATATTGTGTTCGCCGTGCTCGAGGGGATGAAGGAGTGGAAAGGTTCGAATTTAAGAAATAAAAACTCAGATTTGTATAAATTTTAGAATTGTATTTTCAAAATTGTATCGGTATTTTAGGACTGTCCAACACGTGTCTCGACTTCTTGGGGGATTATGACAACATTTCGTTCAAATTGTCAGACCGGTTACGAAATGCGGTGGAGTCTTGCAGTGCTATTCGAAACTTGGCGACACGTGGGTATTCCTGGTATTAATTAAGGTATTAATTAATTACATATTCACATTTTTATATTTTTGTACGGGATTGTTTTTGTAAAATGTATGATTTCCTTTTTTTAGATTGACGAAAAAACGACGAAATATTTGACGAACTTCAAGCGTTTATGGGGAGAGATTAAAAAATAATTGACGAAGTAGTGTCACTAATTAATGTTAGAATTGTTTTAGTTTTTGATTAGTAAAGTAGTTAATTATCTACTATATTTATGTATCTAATTGCAATACATACATACTTATCAAGTACAAATTTGAATGCCTTTCAGACAGGAATTAAGACTGACTTTGTTGTTATTAATTATATAACAAGCCTAATTATAGTTAACCTGACTTGGTAATTAACTTTGTTTAAAATGGTTGAGGTGTTAGTTAGTTGACAAATTTTGATTTGTTGTAGTAAGTAGTTTACTAATTAGTTTATCTAGTTTAGTTTAGTTTACTTAAATGACTACCATTTGCGTAATTAGACCCATTTAAACTATCCATGTATTGCTTTATTGATAGTTAATGCTTGTTTCTATGAAATATTTTTGTTACTACTTTTGATTGTTAGATTAAATTCTAACTTTAATGTGACCTACTTAATTAAATTTACCTGTGATTAAAAGTAAGAGAAAATGTTTTAATTCTAAAATTACAAGGTTCACTGAACATAAAATGTGTTAAAATTACTACAAACAATTAAGTACAATGATTTACAATTTAGTCATCCTTACAATTTTCCATCCTTAAGGAATAAATCCATATTTTTGTAGTTCTCTTAATTTTTGGACTGTCTGGACTTCCTAACTTTCGCCGAGATGCACTGCGCACTGGTTTTTAAGTAGAAATTTATCAAATTTCTGGAACCGTTGAAAAAAATTCTGTACTGAATATTAAATTTCCAATATGCACTTAAGACAATTCAAATTTTTAAAATTTCCTAGTATAGAAATTAAAGTTTCTGGTAATTTTATACATAGCTGAGGATGGCACCCAATTACGCTAAGATTGTCTACACATAATTTTGCTGAGATAAATAATTACTTTTTTATTACTGATTAGTACAATTTGGTAGAAAGAATTTGCAAATTTGAAATTTTGAAACCAATTTTTTATCTACTTAGGTGGGTGGCCCTTTTACAAAGTTTTGCTGAATTTAAATGGTGCAGGATGACTTCTGTTTGGGGAGGGTGGCGATGCACTGGTCGGCTTTGGCGATGTCGGCAATTTCTGAAGCGGTGTACATGGGGTCGTAAGTCCAGAGCGTGGTTTTGGTGCTCTCGTACGCCGTACAGAGCGACACCGGAATCGGCTTCCCTTGGGAGCACAGCTCCAAAATGTTCCGGATCGCGTTGGACTGGTACTTCACTTGCATGTTGGTCGTATAATCGGTGGACAAGTCTGGAATGAAATTTTAAATAAATTATATTTTTCAGAAACTTAATTTTGAAAAGAAAGTATCTGTAAAAAGCGTAAAATGATTTAGGATTGCGGCTAATGCAATGGCACAAAAATTTTTGATTAGATTGCAAAATTATGAATTTTAAAAATTTCTAAAGTCACGTTACTAAAAATACTTAAATTAAGAAATATAACTTACTTGCACTTGCGAAACCAACGAAGACCAAGATTGCCAGAGCAAGAGACAAGTTTGCCATTATGTTGGTTTGAAGAAGGTTGGATTTTTGCAAATTACTTCGTAAAAGGTTAATTTGATCGAGTTATGAATGAAATCTGACTCCAATTAGGCATCTTTTTATACCCAAAGATTGAATAATTACTCCAAAAACATGAATGAAAGTTTAATTTGAAAGTCAATTTGGTAACCTTGTCCATCATTGTGCAAAATTTTTGACATATGGTGGCCAGAATGGGGTGCTCAAATTAGCTTTTCGTACCGGACGAATATGTAATGTTACCAAAAAATCCTAACAATAAAGTGTGACAACTTCATAAACATTTTATGTCCACCTGTCATTTAAATATTTATGAAACATAATTTGTTAAGACGATTAATTCACAAAAAATTATTTGCACAATTCGGTGACAATTAATGTGCACAAAATAAAATCTTTCATTTCATGCAAATTGCAGACGCGATTTCCAGGGAAAACCAGTCCAAACTAAATTTGGTCGTTATGCGTTCACAAATTTATGAATGGATAACCTAATCGACTTTAAAATCAGGATTTCATTCATAAACTCGCAAAGCTATGTACATATGTAGGTATTGCTAGGATTTCGCAAAAAGATGAAAAAAAATCTGCTTAGTATATGTTTTAGCATTTTGCATTATAAATTATTCATAAGGTGATGAGCCAATCTGCGCAGATATCCATTCATTTTTTGGATGAAATAAATTTGGATGCATTCCATCTAATTTTACAATTGAGACAAACTTTAACTTTTATTTATTTGTCCTGAATTTCTTTCTTTCTTTATTACGAGACCTTTAATTTTGCACTTTCACACAAATATTATTACGAAAATGACTCCAATTTATTTTCTCGACGAATACAAATCGTGCCTTATTTCACCTTCCGACTTAAATTTCACTTAAATTTGGCCGTGGAAGGGTGGGCCCATGCGTTGTTATAAAGTCCCTATCATCTCCCCATGTTAAAAATAAAATCCGTCCCTCCCATCTCCTACAATGCTAATGTCCCCACAACTCCGGCGGCCACTGACTGCATAAAACAAGCGTCACACAAATTATCTATATCTTCTCCAAGGTATGAATGAGACCGCAGTGACTGACCAAACTATGGAAAAAGGTGAATTTCTTCGCACAAAAGTAACATTCATGATTCTGAGCACCGTGCCGTCTTCTATGCATGGCAAAATTGCGCTTTGAGTGACTCCTGTACTCGCATCTGTCGCAGGAATGGATCTTCTCCTTGCTCGCGGGGTGTACCGCGTCGACGTGGCGATTCAAGTGATTCGAGGTCGAGAACCCTTTGCCACAATGTGAACAGTCGTACTTTTTAAGATTTTCATGAAAAAACCGGACATGCCGGTGTAACCCGTTACTAGTAAAGAAAGTCAGGGGACAAAGTTTGCACTTGGAAAGTTTTCGCCCACATTTTTGCAAATGGGTCAACTGAAAATTAAAAAGATAAACTTGCATAAATACATAAATATCTAAATCAGGGGCAGTTCATAAATTATGTAAGGCAAAAATCGCGATTTTCTTAAGTCACGTAGGCACGATTCATACTTATTTATCAACGAAGCCTGAGCCCATTTCCTTTTTTGTACATAATTTGTGAACAGCCCCAATATTCCATTGAATATATTTACATATTTATGTACCTCGTGTAGTTTCAAGGGTTGCAAAAGTGCGAATCGCTTCCCACAAGTGGCACAATTGTGCGGCTTCTCGGTCGTGTGAGTGAAAATGTGACGTTCAAGGTCTGTCCTGCGTTTAAATTCTTTGTCGCAAAGTGTACACGGAAATCGGACCGGGTTTTCGGAATGTTCGGATTTTACATGTCGCGAAACATGGCCCTGAGTCAGGTAGGTTTTTTCACAGCTGGGAAAAGTACATAGGAAACGGGGTCGTTCCCTCGACCCGTGTACGACGTCCATGTGTCTCCGCAAAGTGCCGGAAGTGGAAAACGTCCAGTGACAAACATCGCAAGTGGGGCGTTCTCGATGGGTGTGAATTCTTGCCATGTGGGTGGCCATGGTGCCCGGGTTTTTTAAAACTTTCCTGCACATCTACATTTGTAAACTTTGAATTTTAATAGTAGACTTTGTATGTAAGTTCAGGGCCCGTGAGAGGGGCGGGCAAGCCGGGCAGTTGCCCGGGGCGCTGAGGCGCAGAGGGGCGCCGAAGGGCGCCAACAATTATATGATATGATGCGAAGTAATTTATTAGCAATTTATTAGAAATTTATAAGCGTAGTAAATAAATTTTTGGACCTGATTGATGTAAAATTCACCTTTCGAATATTCTCTACAGCAATAAGTAATATTTTTCAGTTGCCTTTGAGTAAGTCATCACTGGTTTTTGTGACTTAGATTTCTGTGGTTCTTGTTATCAGATCCCTGAAAACCCCTAAAGCTTATTCGGGATTTTGCTTTTGTGGGATTTGTGTATGGTTTGAGGCAAATTAAAATAAACTTCTTTAAACTATTACTTTAATCTTAATCAGTGATAATTAAACGTTCGGACTCAGTATGGAATTTTGAACATTTTCATGCGTGACTTGAATTTTTTATACCATTAACATGTTCTCAAATCCTAAATTCTTGAATAAATTCTTGAATAAATCATCAAATTTATTAACCCTGGGGTAGTGGTTTTTAGAAAAACCCCGATTCTTTACGAATGTTGCCTTTCAGTTTAATATAGAAATAGTCTCGACACTAGGGCTGCCAAATCCGTTCTGAATTTTCAAATCCGGATTTCGGATTATCCGGTTTTGTCTGGCCCAAATCCGGATTTAATTCCGGATTTGAATTATTTATTGATATTATTCACTTCATTGATATTTGAACGAGTTTGATAGATGTCCAATACTTCATTACCATATTTAACCGGAATTTAAGCTTTTCACTATGGTTTTTAATTTTTGAATATGTAGATAATTTCTGGGTATATTTTTAAGTTGATGTACTAAAAAAATGTGAAATTTTAAAAAGGTGAGGTTGATGTTGAAAATGACACATAAACTATCTGGAATGAATGGCACGTACGCATTTTAAAAAACTCACGCTTTTCCCAACAATTTGTATGTTAATTTGCATAATAAATGAAAATTAGTTTTAAAATTAAGGAAATCCGGATTCATTCCAAAATGAAACCCGGATTTCGGATACTTCGAAATCCGAAAATCCGGATTTTTCGAATTCGAAGTATCCGGATTTGGCAGCCCTACTCGACACCTTTCTACGAAAGTGTGTGTGCGGAAATTTAAATTTTTTCCCCACTCACAATGCGACACTTTAAAATATAAAATTCAGATTTACATTGGATGAATTTTATTTTATCGAGGTACGAATTTTAAAAGGGTTTCCAGTCAACACCTCGGGGTTTTCAAAAGCCTTGAACTTTTCGAATATTACTGCGTGTTGAAAAGTTAAAACATATTTTTGTAAGTTTATGAAATCTCTAAAAGCAAACTCCAGTGAACTTTTAAATTTCCAAATAATATTGCTGATGAATTTCTAGTACCAAAGTCAAGTAACCAATCAACATTTTTCGAAATTTTCAAACTGGAAAAGTTCCAAAATTTAAAAAGGCGCATTTTTTTGGCTAGAAAACAATTTAAAATGAAAGTATTGGCCTCAAATTAGTGAATTCTGAACGGCAAACAAATTGGAAATGCTTACTTTTCTTGTGAAAAAAGTAAAATTGGTCCCATGTGCTTCTGGATTTTAATATATAAAAGCGTACATTTTAATTTCTATCGATGTGCTCGTTAAAAATCGAATTATTAGTTCTTGGATAATTTTAAAATATGATTACAGCTTTTCACGCCTCGGAAAATTATTTGCATAAAATATAAGAACCATATGAGAAAAATGTGAGAAAAATATGAGGAAAATGTGAGAAAAATATGCGGAAAATGTGAGAAAAACATGAGAAAAATAGGGAAAAAATATGAGAAAAGTTAGGGGCGCTCAAATATATTTTGCCCAGGTAAATATTTGGGGTCGCACGGGCACTGTGTAAGTTACATAATGCAAATCTTGTAAAGTTACAATGGAGGTCTCCCAACGTATTTATGCTCACAGATTTGGACCAAACTAGAGTCAATCGATCACAAATATAAGTAGTACAAAATTTGCAAATGGCACTATCTGCCAATGCTTATAAGTTTAGCGGAGATATTTGCATAAAAAGAGGAGAAAGGCTAACAAATTTGTCATTTTCCAAATTTGCTGCACATTTTTCTCGCTTTGGATGCAATGCAAATATCTCCGCCAAACCTGCGCATTAGCAGATAGTACCATTTGCAAATTTCATACTAATTATATTTATGATGCATTGACGCTAGTTTGGTCCAAATCCGTGAGCATACGTTGGGACTATTTGTAGCGAATTTATTGTTCAAATTTTCACTCGCTAAAAATCCTTTCTCTCAACAAAAATTCGAACCGTACCTCTCGTCGTGCATTACACTGATTTACAACTAATAAGAGTTTTCCTAATGAGTAGCGAATTTACCTGGCTTTTTTTCTTAAAATAACCAGCCAAATTTTGTACGTCGAGGGACCGTTCAAAAATTACGTAACATGAAAATTGCGATTTTCCCAACAGCCCGTCATGCACAATATCATTGGAACGTCCCCATTCTCCCGTTAAATAATTTATGAAGGGTCCCCCAGTTTAAGTGGGCTGTCCACTTTTGGAAGAATTTAGACCCTCACCCCAGGCGGTGAACGGTTTGCTTGACGGTAAAATTTACATGGAAAGGGTTTAATCCTTCATTCTATGCGACCACACATCGCATCCTTTTTTCTGGATTCATTTATACATAGTTTAGAAATTATATTTCATGTTTTATATCACGCGAGTTTATTCACATTTGGCAAATACACATGCATGTACCTAACGTAAAGGGATAAATTTATGCATTAAATATTAGTACGAAAGTGCAGTTCATGGCATTTTTGAGTACATACACTTCATAATAAAACATAAACTGAAACAAGACTGGTAGATTTCGAACAAAATAAACCTGTTTACCCTCATTCATTTCACAGATTATGATAGTGAATGATAACGAATGAAAATGAGTTTGCTGTCATTTGATTTAACATGACTGAAAACTATTCCGTCATTTTTTCAGTTGCATGACTGTGAATCAAAGATTTTTTCACTGCTTTCTTTCTCCATCATCTGCTTAATATATGGGGCCAAGTAAGAAATGACGTAAAATAAACTGAATTTGAACGAAAATTACTGAGTGTGAATGAAAATCTTCACTTCGAAATCGGGATAACTGACTTTTGAATGTAAGGTAAATTTTTGAACGGGTACATATGGAAGGAATATGAGTCTTTTTCCAATTGCATATCTTTCCCGTCCCTAATTCCACAAGAAATGAATTTTTAAAATACTTTTTTCGCTAGCTTCATAATTTTGCTATGGGAATGTTCATAAATTATGTAACGCGAGACTTCAAAGACCTCCCTGTAATTTCGCGAACCCTTACTGAATACCCCCATTTTTCCACAAAGATTAAAAAAAACATTGTTCTCAAATTATAAAAGATTCTTGACGTTCCGGAATTATTATTCGAATCAGCGGAACAATTTTCCTCTTCATTCTTGCCATGTAGTGGAACGCGACTAATTCCTGGATGAAGACGACACCCGAAAAGACGAGACATGCGCCTAGAGCGTAAAAAGCGCCGGAAATATGCTTCAGGGTTAGGTCATCGCTCTCACCGGGGTCGGAACGTTCCAATTTGTCCGTTTGATTCGTCGATAGCCACCAAGCTCTTTTTGGAAGGCGGACGTTGTAATGCATGTCGTACGCCTCCCAGAAATCCGCGAGATGAAATGGTCTCACCCAGGACAGCCAGAAATCAAAGGATTCCTTGTAGATAGACCCTGGTTCGAGGGCGGCACCCAAAAAGACCTAAATTTCAGAGATAAAAAAGGAAGTCCGAGAATTTAGGAAATTCATGAAAACAGGATAATAAATATTCTTAAAAAGAAATTCGACCAATTATCATCGACCAACTATTCGATCAACGGACTCAAATTTAAGGAGTGTTAACCAGAGTTGGTAAAACTCCGGATTAAACATTGTTGATTATTAATATTGGGATGAAGAATTAGCGATTATTAATTGGTATTATGGATTACTGATTATCAGTTCGGATTAAAAATTGGCGATTATTAATTGGGATTACGGATTGCCGATTATTAGTCCAGATTAGAACTATCTACTTAATCCTAAAGCTTTAATCCGATGAAGTCAAAATTTTAGCCTATTCCTTAATCCTCAATTTAATCCTTTCCAAACTAATACAATGTACATGCTAAACGTAAATATTTATTATCAAGGAAATGGAATATGTACATATCAATAATTGTTATGAATTTTAATGAATGAATATGTAAATTTGAATAATGAATGAATAAATGAATGAATATGTAAATTTGAATAATGAATGAATAAATGAATGAAAATGCAAAAAATGAATGAAATATGAAAAATGAATGAATAATATGAATAAATTTTGGCTAACCACATAGGTTTTCTCCGGAGAATACATCAATTTCCTCGTGTCCGAATCTGACAGGTTTCCATACAGCAGATAAAGCGTTGAAATAGTGAAGGCAAGGCAGGCATATTTCTTTTCAACGACGTTTTCCAGACATTCCAATCCGACTCCGGTGATGATTTCCATGTCCTTCACGAGCTTCACGTACACCGGATCAGTGGATGCTTTCATCGTGTTGTACGCTCCATCGCCATGCTTTATAAACCCCACGGTGTAGTCGGATTCCACCAATTCTTCAAAAGTTGTCGGAATTTTTTCCAAAACGGGGAAAGCTAGAAGGCTGACCATCTTCGATCTGTAAGCGAAACACGGTCAGCAGATGTAAATATCTGTCACGGGAGGTTATGGCACACTTAAAAAGAGGGTTATACTTTTGAAAAGTAAATACAGTCTAAACTCTAAATTAAGTAACTTACTAAACCCAGATTAACTTTAACTTAATAAAGAGCAAAGTTTGCTCTGGCTTTAGTGTACCTTACTTAAGAATATGGGGTGTATTTTCTTTTTCCAAAAGGGTAGCCTTGTCTGCAACACAGCCCGCAATAAAATGGTCCATGGTCCATCGATGGATCTTTTTTTTTGTGGTCCATGATCCATAATGGACCATTTTGGTCCAGCGGACCATGGACCATTGCGAGCTATAATCTGCAACAGGGCATGGCTAAATACTGAGGAATTTCGAAAACGCAGGAATCGAATGTTATTTTTTTGCACCAAGGTCACATTTGGTGCATTTTGGTGCAAGAAATTGCCATAAGCGTGGTAAAATCCATGCAAGAAATGTGATTCAAAAAATGGGATTCACCCTTTGTATTACATATATCGTATTGTAGGGATTATACGCTCTGTTGGACTTATTTTGCAAATTTCTGAATAAACTAATATACCGTGTCTCATAGCTTCTTCTTTTGATCCTCACCTGTACACTGTTGTCACAATCAGTACGAAAAACAACCACATTGCAACGAAACATCGGAGCGGGGTGTACGTCGGGAGGACGCAGTCCTGATCCAGGTAACTGTTGATGACGAAAAATATCTGGTGCTCGATCCTCCAACTTTCCTTGCTGATGATCCCCCTATGAGCAAAAGTCATCCTTTCGCCGCCATCCATTCCAAGCACGGTCATAGATTTTGTGATCAGTTTGAAGACGATGAACGCTCCCAGAGTGGAGGCCCCAATGCAGGTCCACATAAGGAGATCGAACGACCAAAGGAGCGTCGCAGGGGAGAAGATTCGGACCCCGTTGGTTGTTATAAAGTGTAAGTAGCTCACGTCGAAGAAGGATTTGGTGAAAGAAACTTGTTGATCTAGGAGAATAATAAGTTGAAAAGATTAAGATGTTGAGGATTAGAGATGAAAAAGTAAGGGTGCATACTATGTATTCTAAATTTTGGAATCTTTCAAAATGTTCCGTCGAAAAAGGGGTACTAAAAATGCGGTAAATGCCAAGAAAGAATGACGGTTAATGTCAATAAATGACGATGAACACAATAAATTTCAGAAAATGCCACTCTAATTTCGCACTAAAAAAGGTTTGATTGCTTATATTCTAAAATGTTCTCTGTTACAAAAATGATACATTTTGACCTGAAACCCCCAAATGAATCTTGATTTAGGTAAGTGGATAAATTACTTCGTTTATTAGTATTTCCCGTCATGATGGCCATGTCCGCTTTACCAGAGACAACGTCCCCTACAGTGCCTAAGATACAAAATTTCCATCTTAATTTTGTTTAAAAACTACAATAACTCTCGCACATATATGTTTTTAAAATTACCTATCCAAGTCCCATTCGGAAGTTCCAACCCGGTCCCTCCCCCACCCGTGGAGAGGAACATGTTATACGTAAAATTCAGCTTTACCATTAAATACTGATCAAAAAGAGTCTTCAGCATGCCCCGATTAGCGTTATTGACCCCTTTGTACGGCGGGGTCGCTTCGATTCTCGCCTTCACGGCGGGAAACGATATCCGCAACGTTTTGCCCATCAGGTTCAGAACAAAGTTGGGAAAATAGTTAAAACTGGGGGGTCCTTCGGGAGGGAAATCGACGATCTGAGGCAGCCCTTCGGCACAGAAGAAGCAAACTGATCGGACCACGAGGTCACTGGATGGGGTGAAACTGAGACCAAGCTTGTACTTGGTCTTGGCTGGGAAGAAGTCAGACAAGAGGAGGCGTTCCAGTTGGGATGGTTGTGGCGTTATCCAGATCCAGAAGTCAGACTCTTTCTTAACCATGGGGAGATAGATGGGGGATATGGAGCTGAATGGGAAAAATATTAAGGTTTCATTGTGGTCTCCTTTTCATACAGTAAATTATGAATTGCTAATTTAAATGCGCTCAAAAATAAATGTACGGCACCAAAAATTAGTAAAATCTTCACCACATGACTATTATGGTGAAGTTTCAATTTTTAAATTCAAATTCTAGGGGAAACACGGTGAGCTTTCCGTCATAGGACACCTTTAAATTAAATAGTCCCTTCCCAATTTATGTGGATAAATTCGCAATATTTTCCCAAAAGAAAATTTTGTCCACTCGAATCTCGATATCATGTACCCCACTGTGCAAATCTGGAAAAAATGCTTTGCTTCTATGCGGATATTTTGTAAATGGCGTCCTATTTAAAAGCTACCACGATAAGTAAAAACTGCCAATTTCATACCGTTTAATCCACTCGAAAAACTCCGACCGGAAATGATCCACCACGACCACGGAAATCTTACACCCTTTACTCTTCCTGTTCCAATTTGCCACTGAGGAAGAGTCAAATCTAATCCTGGTCAAATTCCCCCCATTTGACAAACTTTCATGAAAGACAGCATTATAATGTGCCGTCACTTTAACTCCTTTCACAACATTTGACACCAAATTATTCCCCGTCTCACTTTCCCCACTTTGTCTCACGAAGAACAGGGCGCAGTCTGGATACCGATTAACGACAAGGTCAACAAGGAATACTTCTTCCGCCTTTTTAGTTAAGACGCTTCCTTCCCCCATGAATGGGTGGAAACACGTCAAAATCAAGATACCCCAACCCTTACACGGCTCCATTTATTGGAGATTCACGTGTCCAGACATGCGAACAATTTTGGGACAAATAGCACCAGAAATATCGTCGCAGTAAGAATTTATCGTGTTATCTGTACACTCTTAGAAAACTGCTGGTACATAAATCCGTACCAACCGGATAACATATGTACATACTTATCTGACTCTACCAACCCTGGTAATAACTTTCAGCAATGTCGTGGTAATGAAAATTTTACCACTCATAATGGAGGTCTCCTCACGTGTGCTCACAGATTTGGACCTAATCCATCACAAATTTGATTAGCATAAAATTTGAAAATGACACTATCTGCAAATTCCCATATTTGCATCCGAGGAGGAGAAAACGCCCAGTGAATTTGGAAAGTGTAAAATTTGTCAACCTTGGGACCCTTTTTTCCTCCTTTTTGCAAATATCCCAAACCTATGAATTTGCAGAAAGTGACATTTTCAAATTTCATACTAATTATAGTTATGATCGATTGACACCGGTTTCGTCCAAATCCGTGAGCACGCGTTGGGAGACCTCCATTGTCAAACTATTACCAATCCGGTAGGAAGTTATTACCAAATCAGGAGTGTGTATTACTTCCCCACATTTTTCAGTGCACATGACACCATAATCGTTCCCAATCAAGTCACCCTCAATAATTTTTAAAAATTCATGAGAGATTTCTGCAATTCCGCATCGCATAACAGAGTTAACGAACACGCGATGCCAATCTTTGGTGTTGTCTGTTGTAAATAAGTGAAAGTTAGTGCTATCCTGTTGAAGGTTGGAAATTTTAAATAGTAAAAACCATTACACTTCGGGTTAGCAGGTTCCTTGCACAATTTGTTATATATGTAAGACGAATTGAATGTGCCTAAATCAGTGTAATTTTTGGGGGTCGTTCATAAATTATGTAATGCGAGAGTGGGTCTAAGGCTCCAACAATATCGTGCCATGTGACACATCTTAAACGGGGGAGTCCTTTAGAAAACGGGGATTTTTGCGTTACATAATTTCTGAACGGCCCCTCCGCCAGGTGTAAATCTTGCATATTTCAAGTTACGTTGCGTCCGTGGCCGTTGCGACGTTGGAGAATAAATTGTAAATAAGTCACGTCCCGACTATTGACGGAATTTTAGACACACATTGTCTGTCTGCATATTGGAATGGCTGGTGAAGCGTTAAAGAAATCAACAACTTTCCCCGGAAAAGCTTGACGATAAGGGTTGCATACGTATAAATAAGTAAGCATGCACACAAGTTACATATGTGGGTTACGTAAGACTACCGAATACATAAATTAAACAGGCACGAGACACGCACGTACACAGAAAGTTTACTAGGCGGTTGAGAATGGGTGAATTTGTGTATGTATTCCGAGGTGACTGAGTACATCGTTACTACAATTATTTGGTAAAGGAAGGAATGATGGACTCATTACCCCCACTTTCCTTTGACAAGCTGCTGGCGCAAAATGCACTGCTTATATAACAAAAATGATGAAATTGAGCAGTATTAATACAGATAAATATTTTCCACTATGAATTGTGAACTATCGCTAATTTATGTGTGTTAGGAACCTTTATTCAAAATATTTTGCGAACATTCACACATGGAATAGGTACAAGTCCGACCTAAATTTTAGTGTTATGCATACAACTTTTATATATGTGTCCAAGTATTTATGATTGCATATCTTGCTTTCATGAAATTATAAAACTAGGCATGTTTCTGAAAATTTTTGAAACTATGAATAGAATACTTGTAAATAAATTACAAACGAGCAAGAAATGAAATACATAAAGTGCATGAGGTATTTGAATTCAATAAATGAAGTTCTAAAACCATGGGAAAAAATGGTAAATTTTTAAATACCTATTTTTTAATTGTTTATTAGATTTTGAAAAAAAAAACTGTTCAAAAAGCTTGTATTTTAATTTTACATTTTAATCATTTTAAGCAACAAACTTGTTATACATTTTTGTATAAATACTATCAGCGAAATAATTGACAACAAAATAATCCCACCTCCTCCCACTACCGGGAGTAGTGAAATTGCGAAATGAAAAATTTCCACATTCCCAGCTCCAAGGTTAAGACAATTTAATTTAACAATTCAATTTAACAGGGGAAACGTTATTACCAAATCAATACCAGCTTGGCGACTTCAGCACATTTTTAACTGTGCATAATAAATGATCAATTGCATCTTATCAATTCAAGTTGCCAAAATTTCATGAACCTTAACTTTCTTCCGATCCTGCGCTATCATACATAATTATCATCACTTTCTCATCACTTATTCCTCCGGACATAAATTCTACTTTGAATTTTTTTATCACACCAGAATTGTATTTTAGTGAATCGTACCCAAATTAATGTCCCCCTCTTGACGATATTTGCCCACTTATATTTCACATACTCGAATACCAAGAAGCTGAAACATGCCGCCAGACACGTGACAAGTAGAATGAAAACAGTTTGAATACTCCCGCCTAGCTTGACCACTTGGAATGAGCTCGTTTCATACCGCAATTTCCAATTTTCCCCACTTTTAAGCTCCCTTTCGCGTAACACTGTGTCATTCAGGCTAACCTGATTAGACACGTGATTGTAAATCCCTGAGCTCATAAACAGCCTAAAATATTGCAGCATCCGTGATTCCCGCCAAACACGAAAGATAAATCCGACCTGCCTTGTAAAAATTGTTTTCTCTCCGCGGTACCATTTTTTAGCGGGGTAATTTCTCTTCAAATGTTCATAATAAGTGTTAACCTCGCCTGAAGGTCCACCATAAGCGGATCTCTCACACTGCAAGATTTCCTCCTCAATCATCTGATTGAATTCCTTGTTGGTTATATTTCCCTCTAAAAGTCCAAATTTCTCCGGCCACCAGCGAATCCTTGGATCGACCATGAAATAAAGTAATCGAAGTAAATGCTGTGAATAATTAAAAAGATGAAAAAAATCGCGAACATTGTCATGAAAGAATTCGGGAAATTTATAATTTAGATGGCAATTCTTTCTTCCCCAGGCTGCTGTGAAGCGAGATAAAATTGTGTAGCAGGGTCCCCCCAAATCCTTCTCAATCGAGCTAAACCCCGCGGTGTGGTCGCGGTCAGTTTGAACCAACCCAGTCATTCTGGCCACGACTCTCCAAGGGTCTAACTTTGCTTTAATGGTCTCCAGACATGAAATTGCTTCATATGTGTCGCGTCTCTCCCCGGGAAGGGGTGAGTTTAAATTGGTGATTAACAGACTCAGGTAGCAATTAGTGATCACTATGGAGACAAGTAGCCATGCAATACTTAGAACTTCAAAGGGAAGGAAAGTACTCAGTTTTTTCGTCAGCTTGTCCACCTCGTCGATGAGGAGACCGAAAAAGTATAAGAATAGTTTAAGCGGGTAGAATTCTTTGTTCAAACAGTAAAATCCTAGCGAAACGAGGAAACTTGTTAAGATCAACGTGATAACTGTGACGATCCATACGATTGTATCGTACGGAGCTAAATACAGGGAAAATGAAAGCCCCCTCGAGAAATGGGAGCAAGAAAAAAATGAGAAGCCGGGGCATTTTGTGATAACAATTTGGAAATTATAGTAATGTTCGGTAAGAAAATCTCGACTTTCGTAAAAATACACCGGGTAGAAGCAAGCTTCCGTGAGAATCGGGTAGCAAGGGTCGGTCGTTCTACTCAAGGTGTGTCGTGTTGCGTTAAGTTTACTTAATCCCGTGGTAAACAGGATTTCTGAGATTTTATGTTTTAAAACAGAATTCTCGATGCAATGCTGTTCCAATTTTGCCGGGTAGTTTAATGGAGTCAATAAAATTGTTTTATCATCACTTAAAGTTGTGCAAACAAAATTTTGAAGAGTTGGAACAGTACCCTTTTGGTAACAGATTTTCACCCTATTTTTAGGGAGAAATAGTAAGACTGCCATTTTCACGGGTAGTTGAAGGGTAAACTTTAATGGTTGCGAGTATAAGGGGAAATCCAGATAGGATTCCAATATTTTGGGACTATTTGGAATTAAGATAAAGTTAAAAAAATCTGGGTAAACTTGATTCATATTAATTTGCTCGTTTACGCTGATATAATATCGGCTGTGAACAGAAATCCAATATCCTAACGATTTTTGATGATCTTTTGTATAATTTGGCGAATTTAAGGTGACAAAGAGAATGACAATTTC